TTTTTAGAGAAGGGAAGCCAGAGAAGAAGGAAAGGTACCATGGTCATTATCATTATGTGGGAAAATGCTTTTTTGAAGACAACTGGTGGAATTATTAGGTTTTTTGTGCCCATGCTGAACAGTGGAGGAAACAGGGAGAGTAAATGTATTGTATTAAACAGCAAAGCAAATTTTCTACTGATAAGGCCAGTGGAGCCTGGAGCAGAGGGAGGTGGCTAAGAGAGGCTGCAGTGAGAGTGGCTGTGCAGGACTGATTTTGTGTGTTAAATATGTGAAATGAGAGGAAAAAAACCTGCCTTGTCTAGAGCTTTGGTAGTGGGCTAGGGGTGCAGAGGCTCATTTCAACCATATTTTTTTTGTAATTCTACAGTACTAGCAGTTTTAGGTCCCACTGAAACCTGAGAATGTAAAATTTCTTATGCTGAAGACTGAGCTAAATTAAAAGTTCATTTCTGAACAGATGTGCAAATGCGAGTGCTTGCTATGTTGATGTTTGCTGTTGAAACAGTTTTATGTTGCTGAGTCATGCTTTTTTTAAAATCTACTGTACCTTCAGTACAGTAGTGTCTCTATAGCTTGTGAAAATTCATTCTGTGTTTCCTTTCTGTATGGTATCTCTCATACAAATTTATGTAATGAACAAATAACTGTTAGAGTCTATAATGTTAACAGTTCAGCTGGATATCCCAGAACTGTAGATCCAGGGACACTGGGCTACTAGGTGCTATTGGCTGCAACCTTTCCCCTTGAAGAACTATAGTAACAAATGAACTCAGATGTTTGACATTACATTCTCTGTCCAGAAGAAATATTTTAATAGGGGCACAAAACATTCCTTTTAATGTCAGAGACATTTATTTTGATTTCTCTGTTTCTAGATGAAGGGGACATGTGCAACATGCCTTTTTAAAAATCTTTTAAAATCTTTTTCTTCCCCCATCTTTTAATGTCTATATTTAAAAACAAACAAGCACAAATTATGGAAACATGGAGTGGTTGCAGAATGTTCGCTACTATCCAGATATTGAACCTATTTGAACCCAATACAATTTATGACAGTAGTTGATTATGTAATCAGGGGGTTTTTTCCCATTTAAACTAATGCTTGCAAATGTAGATTAACAAAGCAGTTATTGAAGTGTTCTTTGGTGAAAACAAAGAGTTAAAAAAACCTTACAGCCTAAAAATTAAAATTTACTGAAATTGAATATTGCCCTAAAAGAAGTTAACAGTAGCAGCAGACAGCTGCTGCCTGTGTCTTATGGATGTAATTGTTTTAAACTCACTATTTTTGTTTGTTATTGTTGTACCAGTAGCATCTTTTTGGTTACAGAGCAGCTTCCCCGTTAGCCATGCAGCCCTGCAGTCACTCCCAAATAGACTTTAAATATTCTGGAGTGTTTGTGCTAGAGCAAACATTTTGGTGTAGCTAGGGCAAACATTTGTATAGTCTTGGACTTTTAGTCTCGTTTCCTTGCTGGGTTTTACCTCCTTGGGCGAGTGTTGTTTATGGAACAGCCAATTCAGCAGAGCCTACCCGCCGGGGTCAGGCAGCCCTGGGGCAGCGTGGGGATGGGCTGAGCAGGCCAAGGGGCTTTTCCCAGAGAGCTCCCTCAGCATGGCACCGAAAGCAGGGTGCAGCAGGGGAGCTGCTCCCAGCCAGGGGGCCTGAAAACATTTCCCCAGGCACCTCATTCACAGCTCTGGTTGAAATAAATAGGGCAAGAGATCTTTCTCCTTTTTAATGCCTTTATTAAAAACTAGCTCGGGTGGGAAGAACCGACGGGTCGCGTTCACACTCGCTGCTGCTTCCAGGAGTGGCACGGAGGAGCAGGAAAAGTGTAGCCATGACGTGTTCTGAAAAATCCTTTCCTTAGGATTTTTTCTCCTGAGAAGCTGAAAGGCCTCAGGAACAAAATGTAAACAATGGTTATCTGCTGCTGTGGAATGCAACAGGTGCATCTGTGATTGGTCTCATGTGGTTGTTTCTAATTAATGGCCAATCACAGTCAGCTGGCTCAGACTCTCTGTCCGAGACACAAGCTTTTGTTATCATTCCTTCCTTTTCTATTCTTAGCTTAGCTAGCCTTCTGATAAAATCCTTTCTTCTATTCTTTTAGTATAGTTTTAATATAATATATATCATAAAATAATAAAGTCTTCTGAATCATGGAGTCAGGTCCTTGTCCGTTCCCTCATCCTTGGACCCCTGTAAACAACACACTCAGGACCCCTGTTAACAACACACTCACAGAAAAGTGTAGGTTTGTCCACTGGTCTGTGGGCAGAGCTGGGGCTTCCACTCCCACAAGAGCATAACGAGAGTCCCCACTTTTGGCTTGACATTTGGGGTCTTGTGTCCAGCCGACATCTTTGAGGTTAGGGTGAGGGTAAAAAGGGTCTTAGTGGATGCTGGATTCTGTTCCTCACACCTAGACATCACCCTGATCCGTCAATTCCGTGTTAGCTCGTTATTTTTAGGGGTTTGGTGAGTGGCTTCTTCCTTTGCGTGCTGGTTCCAAGGTCATTTGCATGCCAACTCCGATGTCCCCTCCTCTTCACTTCCAGGAAGCAAGCAGGATGCCACTTGACAAAAGGGGGAATTTTAACCATCAACAACAGGTAGTTAACAAAAACGACGGGTGATTATAACAACCAACAGTTAGAACTCCACCCTGGCAGCAACTAGCCCAATCTGTGAACTCTGCAACTTTTTTTTTAAAAATGTGCAGCTTTTCTACTCATAACGCTGGTGTTCCTCCCCAGCCCAGCGCAGTGTCGGGATGCAGTTCCTGGAGCCTCATGCCGCTGTAGTTCCACGTGAGCTGCCCCGAGCAGGGAGCGGGGATTCCCTGCGCCTGGAGTGAGTGCATGCCGGGCAGGTGGGACTGCTGCTGCACTTGTCCTTGCTTGTGTGCTTGGATCCCCCGGGCTCCTTCAGACTTCACAGGCTACAAAGCTGATAGCAAGGAGTGTTGCATTACAGTGATTTCTGCAAATATCACTCTGCAAAATTTACAAAAAGGCAACAAAATCAATTATTAGACCATTTGTAATTTTTTGTTGTATGTAAATAGCCACACCAAAAAGAAAACTACTTTTGTTTCTGTTATGATAATGCAATTATTAATTTACCAAGAAAATATAATAACTGGATGGTTTGAAAGCAAGGTAACAGAATAAAGATTTATAGGTGTGTGCCTGCATGTCTTTTCTCTGGTACTTACGAGACGGCAGCAAGTTTAATTGTATGTCACAAACTAGTTAAATTCCTATAACAGAAGTCAGTTCTTTTGTTTAAAAAAAAAAAAAAAAACAAACAAAAAACCAAACAAAAAACACCCAAGAAAATGTAATCCAAGAAGTCCTTTTAGATTGAGGTATTGGAATTGTTAAGAAGTTTTGTTTGGTCTGCTTGTACTTGTGATAGAAGAAGGCAGGTTTTCTAGGTTCCCCCAAGGAACCTTTCTTTCCCCCCAAGGTTTTCTAGTTTAACTTCAAATAGTGTTGGTGTCTGGAGCAAGGGCATTACCAGAGCCAAAGATTTGATATTTAACATTGTCAGCAAGATTTGCTTACAAAAAGTAAGCTGTATGAAAATATGTAGCTTCTTTAATTAAAATTAAATATAATCACATTCTTCAGTATATAAACTAACTTAGCCTGAGATTTAGGGAGATTTTTCTTCTAACAAATAACTGGCTTTTTTATGAATAATCTGTTTTCATGTTTTTGTCTTGCATATGTATGTCAGTGTCTTGAGCTTCAGGAAGCTTTGGAAAAATGCTACCCAGCTGGGCTAGCTGTGTCTTCTTGGGCAGCACTGTGGCTTCAGAGACAAAGCTTTATAGAATGTCATTTTCCCTTCTTTTAGAGATCTAATTTCCATGGCAGACTGATGCAGGGATGCTTGGGCTGGGTATTGAATTTTATATTTGCTTTTACCCGACCCTTTCCTACTGTTTTCAGCCTTCTCACTTCTTCAAGAAAAAGCTGTATTACTATATTTTAGCAGAATAGAGCCAAGGCAGGAGTTTTGCTTCTTATCCAAGTGGTGACTGCTCTGAATATCCCCATTGCTCTTTATGAGGCCCATCCAGCTGGCAGCCTGTGGGCCACTTCTCTTGCACAGAATAATTCTGGCCAGCTCCCACATGAACCTGATTTTATCCTATCATGCCTGTGCATAACCATGCAAACTGCCTCTCTGCTCCTTTACTTCTGGAATGTGGCACAACGTGTCTGCCTCTGGAGATGTGCCTATAGTGACTTTTAAACATAGATACTACACTATAGCTTAGCCTTCAGAAAGATAAATCATTCCACTGTCACACCACTGTTTTGCCCTCTGAAAAGAAATGCTAGAAATGTCTTCAAATGCCAAGACTCTTCTTTTTCTTTTTCTTTTTTTTATTAGTAAGAGATCTTAAAAATGGCTTAACAACTGGTGTGTGTTTTTCGTAAAAATACTCAGATAAAATGGCAAAATTAGACTACAAGAAAGGGTATGAAAGTTATCTAGGCTTAAAATATAATACATGTTAAATAAACATGTGTGTTAGCAAGTAAACACTAGATAGCTTATATTTCTTTCATTTATCATTTTTTGGGTTTCTGTTTGCAAAGCGTTTCATGTTTCATTACTTTCATGATACTATAATTTTATGTTGTATGTTGCCACTGGTATACTATACAAAAATCACAGCTATAAATTATTTGAATCCTTGCAAAGGTACTGATGGTAACTATTTTAGAGTAAGGCTGATTTTTTTTTTAATTAAGAATTTTTTTTTAATTCAGAAATTGTTTATGTTTTAAATAAGTGATATATTCTACAATATAGAATTATATATAATTTTTACTTTAATTATAATAATAATAATTTTTACTATAATTTTTACTTTAAATGAGAGTTATTATTCTTGTATTTATATTAGTCTGCTATTTATCAGGTTTATGATAACAAATCCATTGTTTTATTTTTCCATGAACTGCAGAAACTATGCCTGTTCCAGACCAGCCCTCGTCTTCTGACAAGACAAGTTCCCTCAGTCCTGTGTTGAACACATCCAATGGCGATGGCTCCGAAACTGAGACAACCTCTGCCATTCTAGCTTCAGTCAAAGAACAGGTAGGCAAGTGATGCATCTGTAGGCTGGAAAACAATAGTATGATTTACTGGTTTTTTTGGTTTTTTTTAACAAATGTTTCATAGCTGGTATCTGAATAATTTAGTTCACAAATGCATATTCCAAAGAATGTTCACCTTTTCTTCATGCTTTAGTATACTTCTGGAAGCTTTCCTACAGTAAATTTAATATAATTTAATTGAATTGCTCATTTTATTCTCCACTTCCACACTTTACTGTGGATGGTGGTTTTCTGATTTCTCTCCTTTTATTGTTGGCATCTGCATGTGGAGTTAGAGTATACTGGCATGTAAGAGTTATAGACAAATGAATTGTGGACAAGATGTGTTATTGTAGAATTTTTTAAGGATTAGTAAGGGCCCTAGGATTTTAAAATTTATATACATGTTTTTGGGGGTTTTGGGTAAAACCTGAGGTGAGATTGTATCAGGGCAAAACTGGGTATAGATAGAGACACTCATTTTTGGATGATTAAAACAAAAATATTAGAAACTTTCAAGGAAAATGTCTTCAGTGTGATGGTCTGCTTTATGCTAATAAGACAGGTTTGACATTTTAATGTAAATTTTTGTGGGCTGAATGTCAGAGATTTTGCTTTTAATGCCTTTTTGTACTTTAGGAGATGGTTAATACTTCAGTTAATGCAAACAACTGGTCTCTGTCACTGCCTCCTTTGTTTTGACACATCAACAGGAATTCCAAGGAGAGACATTAAAATCAGCTGCTTTTAGGCAGCTTTCTCCTTGCTGAAGGTGTTTAAATTGTTTCTTCCTTTATCAGGTACTGATCTTTCCCTGCCAAAGACATTCACTGGTTCTTGATTTAAATTAATGCATGAATTCAGCTTATGGTATTTCTCAGCACTGGAGTAATAGCTCTTGAGTCTTAGAGATCTTATAAAAATTATAACATTGCTCTTTCTTGGTTGTTTTGCTATATGCCAGTTCTCTCTTTTGGGTGGTAGAGGTTAGTCATATTTTCTGTTCTGAAAAGAGGAGTGCAAAAATGAAATGCTATAATGTGGAGCTTTGTCTAGGGATTTATGGCACATCATTGGAATAGAAAATTGCCCATGGTTTAGATGTTTGCTTTCTCTTCCATGTCAATGATATTTCTTGGGTGTGTACCAGTGTTTCAGCCTGTGTCACTGCATTATTTTGTAGAAAAGTATTTGCCTTTCTGACTCTTTGATGGTGAAAAAGTGTACAGGGAGATTACATAGATAGAAGCTATGTTTGCATGTTGGAATGTGAATCACAGTATGGAATAGTGACAAGAACTTCTCTGTTGTTTGGTGTTGTGATTTTCACTAGTTTATACCTGGCTATGTGTTTTACAAATGAACCTTCCACCCCTATAAATCAGTTGAGTACCGGAGGAAATTGCTGCTGAATCCACCAGATGAAAAGGATTTCAAGTGGTAATATATTAGCAAAGTTATTTCTGTTTCCTGTGAACTACAGCAGAAAGGAGCCTGTAATAAAGTAGTTCTGCATTGACTTATCACCAAGAACAGCCTAGCCAGCTAACCTAAGGTACTGCTAACTAAAAAGATACTGTCTTGAACTACTGTAATACAAGGTACCAAAATTTAACAGGTGTTCTCTTAAGGAATTTGCTTCTTGGTAGGTATCTCTAGTCAGACCTATCTTGAAGCTGGAAGACTCTACTAAACTCAAAACCAAGCAACAATGATATCAATAACAATGATAATGACAATAGCAATAACAACAACAATAATAATAATACCACCACAAACCCCCTCACCCCAACCTACTTTCGGCCTTTTTCCCTACAAGATTGTGTGTTTTGACACACTTCTATTATTTAATGTTCTGTTGGAAAAATTCTAGGTAATGCCACAATCCTGGTCTTCAGACAGATTAAATACATTGCACTGATTCTCCATTGTTGAGTAAATGAAGTTAAGTTTCTAACTGACTGTTCAAATGGGTAGCCACCTGCTTTTTAGAAGAAGGAAGGAGTTACTTTACTGTCTGGTATGAGATTTTGCTCTGCATGCTTTTTGATTGTAGCCAAAAATATAACTAGAGTTACACAGATACAATAATTCAAAAGTACTGTCAATATTGAGAAATTAAGGTGTTTTTCAACATATCAGTCATAATTAGGATGGTTTTCAACCAATCAAGTATATTACATTTTCTTTTTCTCTGCCTATGCTTAACTTTAAAAGGTTTCCTTGCATTTTTTCTCTTGGAACACTTGGGGTAACTTCATGTGTTACTTCTCATAAAATAAATAGAACATTGTCACTGAGTGATGGTAATAAACTGTGGTATCTATGATATGGAAAAAAGTAAGAGGTGTTTGCATTCTTTGAAGAGGGCAGGATACATGAAAGACACAGAGAAGGGGTAATAAATGTTGTATTTATTTGTTTTACTTGAATCTCCTACGTGAAATTTAAATGATATAATGAAAATTTAAAGTTTTGCTGTGCTTAGTTTGAAAAACACATATCCCTGTGCTGTCACATTTTGAGGAACTGATTTATTTGGTCTAAAAAGTTTATTGGGGCAAAAGTTGTACTTGATATGTCAAATTAAAGTGACACACATGATTTTTATGACTCAATAAGAAGATTTAGCCACATGCTTTTCAAGCTGAGGGTATCTGTCAAAAGAGAAATTTTGCTGTTGAGGAATTATTTTGATTTTGGGAAATGTAAATGAAAAACTCCTTGCTTTGAAATACAGGCCATTTCCTTTGTGCTTTACCTCTGGACAAGCGTGCTGATTCATGTTTGGGTTTCAGACTTCAGAGATGCTATTCAGAACTGATAGATACGGAACTTGAATCCATTCTTCATCCCTTGCTGTGAACTTTCTTAAGGTTAGATCACACTGCTGGAGGCAAGGTCAGGATCATTCAACATTTGTCTAAGAAACCATGAGATGCCAGGCAGTGACCTTTGGCTTAGCCGTTTTTGAGCAGTCCTTATGAAGAGAAATATTAAATAACTTCTGTGAAAATGAAAGCTGTTCTTTTGGGGTTATTTTGTGTGGGTTTTTTGTGTGTGTGTTTTTTTTTTTGTTTGTCTGAGATTTTTTAGACAGTATCAAGTTCTTTAAAGAGAAATCAAGCAATGAAGACATAATTTCAGTTTTCTGTGAAATGGATGAAGGAGTTTTTTTCTTACGATATACTGGGAAACACCTTAGGCCCAATGCTTCATAGGTTTTAGAAAACATAAGGCCATTTCTCCTTGAATTTTGTCATCTGGTTTTGTATCTGTAAATATGGGAAAACTTCTTCAACAAAAAGTGAGATATCAGAACTCTTAATTTGTGAGAATATATGTGATAGATGCAACTATTTCTGCAAAAAGTATGATGTGCTTCTGATTGGGAATTTCCACCTGCAAAAGAGACTTCTGAGCTCACTTGTTAACAAACATCCTGGGAAGAGAGCTGTTGTTGATGCTTTTTTGAAGGTGGAAATAGCTGCTGGGGAGCCTTTCGAGTAAATATGTAATGAAGCGGATGCTTTTCCTGGAAGTCTCCAGGCATATGTAGTTCACAGTACTTGGTTCTTGGCATACAGAAAACTGCTCCCTTGGAAGCTGAGCAGGATTGCAGTGACCTAGCAGAGGCTTGTTTTGGCAGATTTTATTTTTATAGGAACACATGGAAAAGATGTGATAAATTAATTTCCTAGGAGTAAGATCCATCTTGAAGTATGGCCAGCTATTTTCAACTCAGAAATAGTATCATGCATCTCTTTTATTTTCTTTGTGGCTCTAGATTCCTTTAGCATCTTAGTAGTAGGCTGTTTCAGAGAACACCTTGCACTTTCAGAAAATTTATGCAAAGAGCAAGGGTTGGCAATGTTAATATTTCTTTTGAATCTTTTTTATGCGTATCTATTTTAAATAAAGATACTTGTTTCCAGTTGCACCCTTTAAAGAAAAACATTTAGACTAATTCTTTTGAAATATTTCTCACATGGTTCAAATAAGTATTGATTGATATGTGCTTTAAGTCATATTGCTGATTTCAGGGAATACAGAAGTCTGGCTTTTATGGTTGCTGGTGGCTTTTGGTTTTGGTTTGGGCTTTTTGGGTTGGATTGTTTGGGGGTTTTTTTTGTCTTTGTAAGATGCATTTTGTTCCTAAAATGGCTTATGTTGCTTTTAATATTTACTATGTTTTTCCACTAGAAAGCTACTTGTTTGTCAAGAAATTATGATTTGAAACTATATTAAAATCATATAAAGGGCAATAATTACTAAGTGTTATTATTCATGTCAGTATTAAATAAGGTGACTTAAGTAAACTTTTCCATTAGGTGTTAGTACACTTTGGAAACAGGGTTATGTATGCCATGCATGTCTTATATAGGTACATGTAAGTAAAACTGCAGTATTTTTTTTTCTTTGGTCTGCCCGGTTGTGTTTCTTGTGTCTTTATATCATGATTGAAGTTTTAGAAAAAAAAAATCACATATGTAGGTAGATGTTTCAATTCAGACTTTTGTTTTTGTTTTTGAGCTTGTAAGTCCAGAAGAGATGTAAAATCATCTAGTCTGACCAGCAGGTCATAACATTTCCTAGAGTCATCCAAGTTTTGGGCTCCCAAATCTGATTACAGAATGACATATGCACTGTTTTCCCTAATATTATGCATGCCATATTGTAATATGTAATATTCACCAAATAAAACTCCAGTCTTGCCTTTTGGATACCAGTAATTACTCTAGTAGTATCAAGTATTCAGCAGGTTTTCTAAATAGATTCAATTATGATATATTCATGTCTTGCTTCCCCTCAAACAGCAGGCTCTGTTTCTGCCCTCAAAAGTTCTAGCAACTCTATTTCAAATGAATGCTCATTGTATTCAATCAATAGGTATTTCTTTCATAATTTCCCTTAAGTAGCATGTCAATATATTCATTTCCTTAGTTATAGAAGTCCCTTGTTTCCAGTTGGGTTTTAAAATATTCCCGAGAGATATTCCTC